GTTGTGCTGACTGTCTTTAACTTTTGTACACCGCTTAAACGCTATTGGCGCCCGCCAACGAGATGGCGCCCACTGAGCAGCAGCTGAAAATTTTATTTCCCCCGACTCGCTGCTGTTTTTGTTTTGCTAAACTCGTTTTCAGTATTTTTGCTGATCGAATTCCAGCGCTCAACGACTGTTTCACAACTATGATTTTGGATTTACACGTCTGACGATGCGCGACCGATTGCACCTTGTACTGGAGCAAACATCAGACCCAAAAGGAGGGACTATCATCGATAAGGTTGACCTGATTAAAAAACAAGATAAACCAAGATGGCTGCTATAGCATTTTACTGTTAAAACAAATTACCCACTTTTAAATGAAAATAATAAATTAAAGTTGCTAAAATAAAATAATTTTAACGAATTTGATAATCTTTTGCTGATTACGGATTCAGCTGACAGGTGACGCTGCGCACGACTCGCACGCAAAAAATGTAAACAAAAAACACATGCTTTTTTAAATTTTCATTTTAAAAAAGATTCCGGAACTTTGAAAACATGGACTCGAGAATAGCAAAAGTACCAGAATGGGAAAAAGCTTTTGCCGAACTGAAGTCACTGTCAACAGCCTGTTTAGAAGATCCTGGATTGTTGTCAGTTTCAAATTATCGCAACTTTCTAAGCCGGCCCGAAATAGATTCCAACTTTTTGCGTCCTATCCTCAAGTTTGCCATGGTCCCTATGCAAGTTATCATCACTAAACTTCCTGAGGTTGTACAACTTTGCAAAACACCTACCAGGTTAGTTTGTTTTAAGTTTCTAGCAAAAACTAACGCTCATTTTTCCTAGTTATGAACAATTGCTTCTTCTTTCCCTTGATTGCATCGCAATTTTATTGTCAAAAGTTGCTCCTCTAACGGATGGCTCTATTTTTGAAGTTTCGTTCACTTTGTTTATCACGATACTGGACCAAGGAGGTTCCAACTCTACAAGTGATCCCTTGTCAAAATCTCTAATTCGACTTAGCGACGATTCACGTCTGGCATTACTTGGCCATTTGAACACTCTTTTAGTGATATGTGATCACTCAGTATTCAATGCCAAGTTGCTAAACGATAGTCAATTTAAGTTTAAAATTGGCTTTTTTATAAACGTGCTGTTGAAACTGGTGAAGACGGCAAAATACTTTAAAATTCAATCATCTGCTTTGAATCTTCTTTCACTGTTTTTTCTCAAATCGCTCTCTTTGAATCCTCTGAAAGAGTCTAGTATCATCATCCACCCTGGAAATGAAACAAATGATTGTGTTATCAAGCTGACTGCCTTTACACTTCCAAGCATTGTTTCGACTATTACCAGCCTTATCAGTGTCTGCTCCGGTGGGGGAAATCACTATAAACTTCATTCCAGCGTCATCATAGCAGCTTTGAAATTACTTGAAATCCTCGTTACAATCACATTTAATATTCGACAAACTTTTGACGAGATAGAAGCAGAAGATAATTTTAAAAGTTGCTCAGAAAAGGATAAANGGTGGGGGAAATCACTATAAACTTCATTCCAGCGTCATCATAGCAGCTTTGAAATTACTTGAAATCCTCGTTACAATCACATTTAACATTCGACAAACTTTTGACGAGATTGAAGCAGAAGATAATTGCACAGAAAAGGATAAGCTTTCTAAACTTCCTGAAGTTAAATTTACCCAATTTTGGTTCGATAAGACTTCAGAAAATCTTTGTTTAGTTTTGCGTTCCATTTTTGAAGCCCTGCTTGAGCATCCAGATGTTTCAGTATGCTCAACTTTGCAGAAAGTCGCTTCCAGACTCATTTTCGAAACATGCACCAGTTTTATGTTGCGTTGTATTCACATTGTGATACGCGTTCCGATCGCTCACGTAGAAGATCCTCAATTTAGCATTCAATTTAAGGAATTCACTTCAAAACTGACTAAAGCCGACTTTGACGCACTGCACAGCATACTTGAAAATGAGCTTCTTTCTCATATTAATCAGACTCAAAAGGTTATATCTGAAGACAGTCTTTTATATTCATTACGAATTCTCTCTGGATTTTTTCAAATTATTACGCCTGAATCGCTTTTACTGGTACCTCAACACAAGTTTGAGTTGTTTCGCTTACTGATACAGCTCGCTCAATTTGAGTACAAGCAAGAATTGCAACGAAAAACTGTAGTGGACTACGATGATTACGTGAACATTTCAGGCGGTGATCTGATTGAAGTCTGTAGTTTGCACCAGTATTTGCGGTACCTAAATACTGCACAGTTGGTGCAAGCATACCGAACCGTTGTTCATCAGCTACTCTTCAATGAAAACAATATTCACGCAATCTACGATTACTTGACTGAGTTGGTGCTTGAATCACAATTTGATCCGACAGTTTTATTACTTTTCAATTGTATTCTCTCTGGAATAACAAATCAAACGGTGCCTTCACTTCGACATTACCTTGATGAACTGCTCAAACTGTTCTCCATGCAGATCGATCTTTCAACACTGCAGCAATTTCATGAAGCAGAGACTCGAGAATCAGAGGAGATTCTAAGGCCACTTTCAATCAGTCAACTGTCTACAATTTGCGCTGTACCATCTTCAATGCCTTCATCTAGCAGTACCAGTGCTGACTATGAGCCGACAGAATCTAAAAGTGAAAAGCACTTAATTTATCAGCAATGTTTACTACTTCAAGGCACCACCATAATCTACAGTTTACTATACCACGTTGATCTTACCACCAAAGCCTTATTTTTTCGCCATCGATTTTGCTTCTTTGTGGAAGCATTCTCCAGTGAGATTCATCTTGTCTCGGTAACTGCTGAGAAAATGTTACTTTTTCTTGGCAAAAAATTCCAATGTGGAGATGGAAAAATTGAAAGCATGGTACTAGAAAATCTGGACTATCTGTACAGCTCAATGACTGTTGCTTTGGACTACGATATTCTGCGTCACAACGACAAAGACGACAACCGCTTTGATACTGTCTACCGCCTCGACACGTACTCCCTAGAAACCGTTCAGGTTGCCTTGCAGACCATTCTACGGCTGTTAGGTCAACTTCACCGGTCTTCAAAGTCAGTTGATCTGAAAGATCTCGATTACCTTCATCGATTAATGGATCAGATTTTAAATGTCATTAAGTACTACTCTATTCACCCATTGCCACGATATACCGCTAACCTTAACCGGTTACTCATCATTCTCTGCTCCTACCTGGAACTAGTGGAAGTTGTGTGTGATCAGGATGCTCAGTTTTCTCGCCGAATCGAAGGAAAAACGCAGGAGGAAAAAATTGCTTCGACTACCGCTTTTTTAGAAGAGTTCATTTCAAATGTCCTATTTATGAGGGCGCAAAGTGAAATAGATTTCGACGACGATAAAATTGGAGATGATGTTGACGAAAGTAAGATTTTAAAGGACATTACTGGACAAGCAAATAAGGAGGAGGCTGAGAAGCGCTCTATACTCGAGTCTCCTATTGTGAAATCGCGCGTTGCTGACATCCTCAACCAGTGCTCCTTCATTCTTTCTGATGCGAACGTCGAAATTCGGCTCAACGTCCTTCTCCTTGCGTGCAAGTCAATGAAGCTGTTGCGCTCTTTTGAAGGTTTGTTGTTAGCCCTTGTACCATTTAAGTGTTTGCATATCTACATCTTTTCTTTAACCTATTTCAAACAGATCTTCTCTTGCCGTATGTCCACAAACTGTGGGGACCACTGGTAGCCCGCTTCAACGTTGAGTCTGACCATCCGCTTGTTCTTTCTCGCGCCTACGGATGCCTACTTCAGGCCAGTGAGTTTTGTGGCGATTTTCTACTGTCGAGAACGTGCAAAGAGGTTCTGCCGCGGCTTGTTGCCTTTCTCCACGCCCAACTCGACCACCGAATCGTTTACTTCACCACCAATCGACGCCTGCTGACGGTCAAATCGGTGGAGTATTTTGCCGAGTATGAGCTCCTGCGAACTATAGGCCTACTCGCGAGCAACCTCAAGCTTCGCTCTACTGAACTCTGGACGATATGTCCCCTGCTGATGATGTTCACCTCTTTGAGACCAGTTCCGCCTGAACTGCAAAAGTGTGCCTTTGAATCGCTTGTTGAGCTGGCACGCTACGACTCTGGTTCAGTACGCTTTTACCTGCACCGAATGGAGAACCTTTGCTATGACTCACGAGAGCAAAGCGCAAGTAGTGAAAGCTGTGATTGCCAAAGAAATACTTCTGTGTTAGAAGAATGTACAACTACATGGAAAAAATACTGCCAACGATGGGACAATTCTTTGTTGCGTGATCTGAAGGGACATTTGAGTGCACTTTGAAGAATTCTCAAATGTTTCCTGTGTCAATGACCAAAATTTCTAATATAAAAGTTCACTTGTCAACGTTTATTTGTATTGAACACATGTCATAAGAGTTTAAAATGTAAATAAAAAATACANGTTTCCTGTGTCAATGACCAAAATTTCTAATATAAAAGTTCACTTGTCAAGTTTATTTGTATTGAACACATGTCATAAGAGTTTAAAATGTAAATAAAAAATACAAAAAAGTTGATCAATCAGAATCCGAGTCAGAGAAAGTGGTGAGGCGTTTAAGATCAATGTAGGATGGCAAGCCAATGCCTCTGGAGCCTGTTGAAGTGGAGGGTCCCTGTTCAAAAGGGGGATACTCGGGAGAAGGTGTTTTACGCTTCCTCGAATCATCGATTTCCATTGGAACAGCAGGGCTCTTTGAACTACTAGGCTTTGGAAAGTTTTCACTCGAAGTTGCCTTCGGAAGCCAGGAAGCAGGAAAGAGTGCCTCTTGTGGAAAAATAATTTCTTCACCGCTATCCACATCAGCTTCAATAGCTTCAGCAGCAGCAGTTGCCCCGGCAACGAAACATGCTAACTCTTCCTTTTCCTTTTTATCTTCGTCTTTTTTAAAATTTTGTTCACTTTCGTCCTCTTCCTCTTCCTCTTCGTCTGTTCCTACTACGTTTATTCCTTCTTCAAATACTTCTTCTAAATTAACTTCTTCTTCATTTATTCCTATTTCATTTGTTCCATTATTTTCCTCCTCCACTATTTCCATTTCCGCTATATTATTTTCAGGTTCTATCTTTTCTATTCTTATTACAAGTTCTGTTTCTTCTTCTTCAAGATCATTGTTATTTTCAAAATCTTTTAGGCTTTCAACGTCACTTTCTTCATCACTTTCTTCAGAATCACTGGAATTTTCTTCGTCCTTGTAATGTTTTTCGAGATAAGCTTTGCATGCGTTTTTTTGTTTTAAAGTGACGCCTTTTAAATACATTTGAACACATTTTTCTTTTAAAATCTTCTTATTCTTTGTTTTCTCGTCCTCCTCTTCTTCCTCCTCCTCATCCTCCTCCTCTTCACTAAGCTCTTCATCACTCATTTCTTCATCATCAGTATCCACGGCAAGCCACTTTTTAATTCCTGCCAAATGGCTTTGATAATTATTAATTTCACCTTCCGTTTTGCTTTTTCTCTTCTCTTTATCGGCACATTTGGCGGCTTGCATCTTTTTCAATTGGCCTGCCATTAAAATAGGATCTGCTTTCAGCATATTGTACTTTACATAGTCTTCTTGCAAGTTAGCGAGACAGTTCATGAACAATTTTTTCTTCTCTGCCGACAAACGCTGAAAAAATAAGATTATGAATATTGGTGATGAAAAGAATGCGAGAGAAAACTCACATTCAAGTACGTAGATGGCATCTCCAAGATGTATCCAGATTTCCATAGGATAATAAACCTACTTGCACTGGGAATGAAACCAATGACATCGTGAATATCCTCCGGCGACTCAATGAGAGCTTTGATTTGATCATCAATCATTGTCCTTGAAAGATTTTCAACTGCCGGTACAGCCTTTCTGGCGCGATTGGTGCTAGCATTTTTGAGATTCTCTTCTTCAAACTCCTTTATCAACTCTGCTGATTTGTCTACATTTTCGATGGATTCCCAGGTATTTGCAGAGGATGGATAATCTACCCATTTGATAAGATACTCCAATTGATAGTTATTTCCAATGCGCTTCTTAACTACTTTTTCCACGTAGTACTCATCATCAGCTAAATCAGTTCGGTCGGAGATGTCAATAGTTTTTGGGTCATAAAATGCAGTCGGCTCTTTTTGGTTACTCATCTAAAAAATTGAATTGATTTTAAAATTAAAATTAAAATAAAAAATGAACCATAATTTACCTTTGCGTTCTAACAAAACAGCACTTCCCTCCAATTTGCGAATCCTGAATACGAATCCTAGGTAATGTAATGTGTCCGTTGGCAGATTTGAGCACCGCTGTANCAGTTCGGTCGGAGATGTCAATAGTTTTTGGGTCATAAAATGCAGTCGGCTCTTTTTGGTTACTCATCTAAAAAATTGAATTGATTTTAAAATTAAAATTAAAATAAAAAATGAACCATAATTTACCTTTGCGTTTTAACAAAACAGCACTTCTCTCCAATTTGCGAGTCCTGAATACGAATCCTAGGTAATGTAATGTGTCCGTTGGCAGATTTGAGCACCGCTGTATTTTTTTTTTATTGTTTTGAGGAGACTCGCGCCAAGCGCATGCTCACTCTCAATTTTACTCGTCTGCCGACCACGTGTTTTGAGCTTACCTTTTTGTACAACGTCACAAGATGTTGTTTTTAATTTATTAATTTTAGGTGTATTTTGTTAATTATATTACCTGTGCTCTATAAAATAACATTGTTTGTTATCTGCAATGAATTCTGATCTTGATGATGATACTGTTCCACTGGAACCACCACTTATACCACGGTTGTCAACATTAACGTCTACTTCTCCACGGCACTCGAAAAGAGATCACCAACACAGTGATTTCAATAGTCTTCAAACTTATGAATCCCCAAATAACTACGACTCGGATCAAATTGATCCTGAACTTGAAGAGCTCTTTTACACGTCAATACATCATCAAACTATTGGATCGATGGAGCTAACGTTTGATCACTTTAACCAAAGCACTGAAACGCAGTTATCTTCCANAAACTATTGGATCGATGGAGCTAACGTTTGATCACTTTAACCAAAGCACTAAAACGCNCTATTGGATCGATGGAGCTAACGTTTGATCACTTTAACCAAAGCACTGAATTATCTGAGTTATCTTCCGCACAACCAGAAGAGACACCTTTGAATGAGTTTCCAAAAGTAAAATCTGAAGATGTAAAAATTTTCAACAGTAGGAAATCGTTAAAAAAAGAACGTAAACAAATTAGAGCAGCAAGGGAAAAGGCATTAGCAGCAGCTGAAGCCGCTAGCCAATTTACGGTGGAGCCGGTCAACAGTAGTCGACCAAAATTAGACTTGTGCTTTGGAAATTTGATTGTTGGTGATGGGATCACCTCTACACCAGACCCAGAAGAAGCGATGAACAAATTCTACAATGAGGATTTATACGATTCTGATGAAGAACGCGCTAACTACAAGCGAATGTCCTCAGACAAAAGGTTTTGGAAAATTGGACAGGAGGATATGCTCTCCAACTTTGGTCGACGTTCTCTGCGGTTTCGTCAAAAGGAGTGCAAACATTGCGGTGGTGGCCACTTGGTGAAAGACTGCCCAAGAGTATGTGTGTCTTTACTATTGTCAAAATTATTTCTAACATTTTTGTTTATCATTTTCATCAGAAATTGCTTTGTTTTATATGCGGCGGTACTCGTCATATTGGTCAAAAGTGTAGTTTACGAGTTTGCTCTATTTGCTTGGAGGGAACTGGCCACATTTCCCGCAAGTGTCCAGTTCGTTACGAGCTAAAGTCAAGAAGGTGTGACACCTGTGGAGAGATGGGGTATGCTTACTACTTTTGCCCTTAAGTTCTTTTGTAACACTTTGCTCTCTTTATTTCCCTCAAGCCACACCGACAAGCAGTGTACCCAAAGTTGGCGTAAATTTCTAAACGTGACCGATGAAGAAACCTATCTTGCTCATCTAAACTCTAAAGTAATTCCCAATGACCCGGTCGTCGTCAATAACATCGTGTCTTGTGCTAACTGTGGTGCTATGGGAAAGCACTTTACCTGTGTAAGTCTTTACTGGAAATAGACATTTAATCTGAACTAACTTTATATTCATTTCAGGAATGTCCACATAAAGACTTTAGCAATATGANTGCTCATCTAAACTCTAAAGTAATTCCCAATGACCCGGTCGTCGTCAATAGCATCGTATCTTGTGCTAACTGTGGTGCTATGGGAAAGCACTTTACCTGTGTAAGTGTTTACTGGAAATAGACATTTAATCTGAACTAACTTTATATTCATTTCAGGAATGTCCACATAAAGACTTTAGCAATATGCGATTTCAAATGCCACTTCCAGTTGCAAATTGGCATAAAATTCGCAAAGAACAGGCTACCAAACGGAATGAACCACCTCCGAAAAATCGTTCCCGAAAAAACGCTTTGCAAACACCCTTCACTAAACCATCAGCTACAACCACAGATAAAAACTCTACAAAGGCAAAAGGAAAAGGCAATAAACGACCTTTTACCGTTGAGCCAGAGGTCATTCCTGACGACTCAGATAGTAGTGACTCGGTTCAGTATGTTCTTGATCTTTTAAAAGGTTCCACTCAAATCAATGATGCGCCAATCAACAGTGGATCAAAGAGATCGCAGTCTCACAATAACATGAATCAATCTGCAAAGAAAAAGAGAAAGGCAAATGTTTCTCAAAAGTTTAATTACAAACAAAAATCATTCAAGCGAAAAAACAACGAATCACCATCGCAAAATAGACTTTACAATTCTCTCGGAACGTCTGAAAAGATTTCATTTAAAAAGAAAAAACAGCGAGAACATTGCGAAGGTCGCTTCAAGAGAAAAACAAAATAGGATTTTTCAATTCAATCTTTTACTCAATTAAGTTTTTTGAATAAATATTTTTTGTAAACTAAAGCGAATTGTTTTTGTCAATTAAATATTAATTTAATTTATTTCTCAATCCTCCAAAGCTGTCCTTTTTAAATACACTGCCCT